GATAAGGAACATGGGTCCAAGGTTTTGGTGTCTTGCTATGAGGATGCATGGTACCTTCGCTGTACATGTATGCCTGCTTTGCCTGGTTTATATCCACACTCTATATATGTATGCCTGGTTTCCTTGCCTGGCTGGGCAAGAACATTTACCTGTGGCTGCTTTTGTTGCATGCCCGTGAAGTCCCAATCATTGACCTATAGTCAATTTCGACGATCACTAATTCTTAAATTCAGAATATATATAGGAGGATGATATGATGATAACAGACAACAATAAACTGAATCGCATGCCAAGTTTTTCACTGAAAAATGAACCACTCGTTGCTTCCATATCCCATCCAAAGCATTTAATGTTGAACAATATATATGCTGGCGCATCCAGACTCATAAGTTGAACTTTTCTGACTTTCATTATATTGTGACGCTGGTCTTAAGTGGTCATAAGAGCACACAAGCTTAGCCCTTGAAGCTTTTTAAGCTAAACACGACTGCAGCACTAGAAAGTTGATTCGAAGATGAGTAACTAGTAAGAATTGCATACCATGACATCTGCAGCTCAACATACTCATTGTTTCAGTGAAATTAGGGCCTGTTTAGATGGTGAAATTTTTTGCAAAATGCACTGTAGCACTTTTTGTTGTTATTTGGCAATTAGTGTCCAATCATAGTCTAATTAGGCTTAAAAGATTCGTCTCGTGAATTTCGTCTAAACTGTGTAATTAGTTTTATTTTTTATTTATATTTAATGCTTCATGCATGCGTTCAAAGATTCGATGTGATGGGGAATCTGAAAAATTTGGCAAAATTTTCTAGAACTAAACTGGACCTTAGTGAGTTATCATGACATTGAATTGACAGAAACACTTCTTGTCACTGTACTCACTTTCACATGACGTGTTTGCTTCAGTTTCTCTTACTGATGTTGGTTGGAATTAAGCAGTTATTTGTTTTTCTCGTGTGCATGCAGAACAGAACACACGTGGCTGTGGAAGAGCTACATTTACATCACATCGGTCACCCGTTGGACAGCTCAGGGCTATTGCCCTGACAGGGGGTGACCATTACAGATTCATGTTGCTACTATGGTAAGCAGCTGTTAACTCTGACCTTAAAACACATACTTATTCTGTTTTGTTGTGAGATGGATCTTGGAGGCGGTGTGGGTTCCTTCTCTGTTTCTACCAGTTAAAACGCCCAGTTTTTGTGTGTCCCGAGCAGAAGAACCAGGATTTAGGCCTCGGTTAGTTTCCCTCTAAAGTTTACTCTCTATCCCATCGAATGTTTGATACCTGCATGGAGTATTAAATATAGACTAAAAAATAACTAATTACACAGTTTGCGACTAATTTACGAGGCGAATCTTTTAAGCCTAATCAGTCTATGATTTAACAATGCTGTGCTACAGTAACATATGTGCTAATGACGGATTAATTAGACTTAATAAATTCGTCTCGTGGATTACTAACGGATTCTGTAATTTGTTTTTTTATTAGTATCCAAACACTTCATACGATACTCCCGAAAACTTTACGCCTGGATTTACAACAAGACCTTAACTGCTGCACCCTGCGCCAAAGCCTGCCATCTTGTATAGCATTGTACAATTTGTACTGTCATCTTCCACTGCCTTTAAATTTGCGAAGCCCTTTTCTTTTGGGGCTCACATGATCCATGGCTCCTGCCTTCAACTTGCAATGTCCATACTTGCCAGGCCTAACGCGGACTCACTTTATCATTTAACTGAGCGAACATACGTCCTGTTCATTTGGACTTATTTGAACTTATTTTTTCATAAATCAATAATATTTTTCTCCAATGAACAATATTTTATTAGCCAACCAACAAATTAACTTTCCAATTTCCATTGCAACTTAGATCGGGGTCTATGTACCTGTAGAGCGTTAGATAGGTTTCCAATTCCCCTATTTAGCAACTTAGATCGGAGTCTATGTACCTGTAGGCAGAGATAGGTGTGGTGCACCCCTATTTAGGCTAGTTATGTAGCTAGACTCAGTACCGACTGATTGAGCTATACATGCAGTACAGGCTACAAATCTGTGTGGTTGCAACATCGGAGAAAATTATATATATATATATATATATATATATATATATATATATATATATATATATATATATATATATATATATATATATATATATATGGTCTAGGAGCAAAAGTCTAGCTCTAGTATAACATGGTGGTAGTACAGTTGCAGCACAGATAGAAGCGATATATTGGGCTAGCTAGAGCTGCAATTTCGATCTAGTCTTGGAAACTGCTGGTGATTGACCTGATGGGAGGTCTGTGCCTGAAATGTGAAATGCTGCCTCTAGGTGTTTCTTTCTTTTCCTCGCGTTACTGTCAAACTTCACAATTGTACCAGCTTTGGATTTTTTAATGTGAGGGTATCGATGGCAAGTTTAACCAAGAACAGCTCCTTGGCATTTGGCAGTGGAATATTCAAGGTGTTCATTTCATTGGTGATTTACTTAACAAAATGTCATTGCATTCCAAACTCCAAAAAACTAGTGCAAAGGTTGCCTGCATGCAAGATAAAAGTGCTAGATTCTGTCCCTGGCATTTTTTAATTATGCGGTCAGTTCGTATTTGCATGCAGGAAGAAGAAAACGACACATCGTTAAGTTGCATTGGATCTATCACCAACAACAGCGACAGGAACCGCAGTGTAGCACTAGCAGCAGAAACAGGAACAGCAACATAAAAAATGATAGCATTGGACATTTAAAGCCCCAAAGCAGGATATTGATATTGATATCCTACTCTGAGACCACTTGCTAAAGACAGACAGGGTATTGGCGAGCTACGGAGCTACTTGTTGCATGCCATGGTTGGTAAACGTTCATTTACTCCAAAGCCATTTTCATCACACATGTACATGTACAGTTAAATAAATAACCAACTATTCCAAGTACCAGATTATATACTAGTCCACCTGATGAAGTAACAGCTGTTCTACATGTTTTTGCTGCTCGTCAACCCGTTCTCTTTTTTATGAGAAAGACGTTATTCACATTGCTAGCATTCAGTTCGTTTTTTTTCCCCAGTTTTTTCCGTTATCTCTGTGTGCGCGTGCCCACGTGGGTGTGTGTTGTAATAGTGCTGCTACTTCCTTCCTTATACTACATTTTAACGACATGCATTTCATACAATGTAACAACATGCATTTCTCCTGCATTTTCTAGAATAAAACAACAGTTCTTCAGCCAGAGCTGCTAGTGGACCAAACAATGATCTCAGTACAGAAATGATATCAGTGGCGATGATTCTTTTCTGGCCACAACTCAACATTCCTGGAGAAGGTAAACACTGCAACGAATCTACTTCAACTCTAATAATGTTAAAAGCTATCAAGGTGAATTATTCTTTGTGCTGTCGTCTTTAGCCTCATTGTGACAAAACTCCACAAGCTCTCCGGTGGGTCTTATACTGTTATTAGTAGGCATTAGGTAAGGTTATCCTTTCAGCGGACAGTCTAGAGCTTCATTAAGGGCGAAACCCTAGCTAGGACAACATCAGGCCGTGATCCAGTTATATGGCACTACTTCATATACCAACAATACAAACCCCATTTTGGATGGAATTAGTGTGGGAGTAACTTGGGGGCGGCCTTTTCAGATCAGGTCATTTTTTCCTGACCAGTTTGATCTGTCATTTCTCATGTGGCTAGTCTTTCTGCACTCTTTATCCCTTCTGCTCCCTCTTCTCATACTTGTACTTTCCTTGCCTTTCTTGTTGCAAGTGTGTAGGCACTTTACTCTTTCTGTGATATAATATTAATTGATCCTTCTGTAAGACTGATGAATTTTAAAATATATAGTTGAACCTTTTAGATATAGTCAACACTCTACACATCTTCAACTTTTCAGAAGTTCCTATCTTTTAAAAAAAAAAAAAAACTGTCCAGAGTTCAACTGATAATAAGTGCATATATAGTGTTTTTTATGGTCTCTCTCCAGCCAGTTCTCTTTATAATATCTAATATATTTGTCTTCAGCTACATTTTTACTATATATTATAAATATAGAACGGCAGAGGAACCGGTGCGTAGTGGAATCCTAAGCCATGATAGTAACGTGAAGAGAGGCAGAGGAAGACCGAAGTTGACTTGAGTAGAGGCAATAAAAGGAGACTTGAAAGGATAGAATATACCCAAAGACTTAGCCTTAGATAGGAGTGCTTGGAAAACAGCTATTCACGTGCCTGAACCTTGATTGCTTCTGCTGGGTTTCAACTACAGTCTACCCCAACTTGTTTGGGACTTAAAGACTTTGTTGTTGTATAAATATAGAACGGCCTTACTGCACATCCAAGCAGCAATAACAACATATGGTACGTATACATATATATGTACACTTACGAGGTAAAACTTGTGGTCCTTCAATTTCTCTTTTACCCATTTCATCTTTCATTCATGTATGTTATTTTAGCGTGCATATAGTATAAAATACACACACACCTGCGGACTATTAGCAAAGCAAAATGAGAAGCATAAATATTTCATGATTAAAGAAATATTTTTTTTCTTTTATCTTATCTGAGCTATTGTTTTTCATCTATGAGATATTTGTTCACTAGGGTATTTGTGAAAAATGCTATTGCCTGCAATCTGTTTTTGCCTAAGGACACTTCTATTAAATTAAACAAGAAACCTTTTCTGATTTTAGCCTATTTTCTCTGGAGTCTACAACAGCTTTCGTGTAGCATTGTTGTAAGTTCCATGAAATCTACACTTGATGCATTGATTTCTTGTGTTCAGTGACAAAAAATCCAAACCCTAATGATATAATCTCTGAATCTTTCTGTATGTGTATGCACACAAACAAAAAGTTTCAAAACTTTGATAAATGGATTTCTTCTGCACTGTGTCAGAAAATAAGGCACGATCTGAATTGAGCGAAGAGTAACCGCAGATAATGGAAAGGTAAGGAAATCAGTTCCTGGGGTGATCCGCTAAAAGCAGCAGAGAAAGGAAACAATTATAGATGCAAATCTAAGCTCACACCCTCGGCTGCAGTGGTCGCTGGCTGCTCACAAACAAACTGACCTTGTGGAGATTGCAGCAAAGAGGAAGAAGAGGAGGGCGACGCCAAAAGAGAAGTTGAGGCCCTCGGATCGTCTCCGCGGAACACGGACGACGAGAGCGCAACTGGCCGCCGGTCTCCACCCGGCGGCACGCTCGTGTTCCCGTGCCCAGCAGGCGGCCCCCTCCAGAGCCCAGTGGTCAGGGGGTTCCCATTGATCGGCTGGGTGATCGACCCGATCCCGCTGTAGAACTGCGGGCCGATGGCGACGGCACCGGCCGCAGCGGCGCCTGGAGCCCTCATTGTTGGCCACGAGGGGTACAATGTCGCCACAGTGGGGCCTGCCACGCCGAAGCGATGCTGCGGGTAGCCGAGGAGGTGGTGGTGGTGCGCGCCGCCAGCAGCCGCCGCCGCAGCGGCCATTGCGGACTGCATCTGCACCCGCTTCGCGTGCTGCCGCTCGCGTTTATGCGCGTTCTGGTGGCCTCCGAGCGCCTGCGACGTCGGGAAGTTCCTGCAGCAGTAGTGGCACTCGAACTTGCGGCTGCTGTCGGTGGCAGCTGTGACGACGGTGGTGGTACCGCCACTGCTGCTTTGCGTGGTGGAAGCGGCAGCGGCGGCAGTAGTAGCGGGCGTGGTGGCGGTGGCCTCTTTAGCCTTTCTCTCCGGCGGTGAATGTGGGACGTCGATGCCGAAGATGCGGATGCCGGAGTTGGGGCTTTCACGGGCCGGGGCGGAGCGCAGGAACGGCAGCTCAGAGAAGGACGCGACGTTGCTGAAGTCATGAGCCTCCCGAAAGCTCGCGGCGCCGCCGTCACTGCCTTCGCCGCCGCTGCCCATGCAGCCAGGTACGGTGGAGCGAGGCGAGGGAGCTAGCTAGGTACACATAATTTTCTCGTGCCTCTGCGGAATAATTTGCAGTACCACCGGTACGTACGAAGAACCAAGTAACCCGGCTGGTGGTGTGGCTAGCAATGAGGTTGGGAAACCCTCTCAGCACCCTGCTAGCTCTTCCTTGGCGATCGATGGTGTATGTGTATGAACGATCAAGGAGAGGAACCGAAGGAAGCGAAGCAATGGATCGGAGGAGAGACAAGGCAATAAGGGCAGCAGGGAGGCCTGTGGAGCTCGTGTTGCTCAAAGGAAAGGAGTGCCAACTGCCAAATGTATACGAGCGATAGGTTTTGCATGGGTACTGTATGGAGCAGGCCGGGTAAGTGTCACCTTACTATATTGGTGGTTAGTTAGGAGGACGTGGGCGGTGGGCCTGCCGGGAGCGTAGGGGTAAAGGAGACGTGGATACATCGTCTACACGGACACGGTGGCGTTGTAGTAAATTCTTGAGAAGGGTCGGGTGGGCAGGCATAGTACATAGTACACAGTAAGCTCTGGCAAGTACTACTGCATTCGGTGGCTTTTGAGCTCTCTCATAACAAAACAAGTACCTGTCACTGAGAGAGGAAAGGCCATCGTCTCTCTCGCTCTCTCTGCATACGCACATAGACGCAGTGCCCTCTCTCCTCTCTTTTTCTTTGCTTTCTTCATTTCTCTGGCTTTCATGCATGTGTAAGCATCAGTGAATACGTGACAAGCTCTGAGCGTGGGCCTGTCGCGCTATGTAGCTATATGTGGGGGTGGTACTGGCTGTTTTATGGAGGCTCTTTATAGCTGTTGGCTTCTTTACATCTGGAGCTGCAGGCTTGTGCTTGGAAGTGGTCCTTGCGTACAGATCTAGTTGTAGCCTTGTGCCTTACTGCCTTGGCTAGGTGCGCGCGCCTGCGTGTGACTGATTTCTCTCTACCTCCCCCAGAAAGGCTAGCCTGTGGCTTGGTCACTTCTTATCCTGTTTGTTTTCCCCTTTTCTTAAGCCATACCCCATATGGGAACGTCCTAAAATATCTCTCCCCCGTTACCACAACTCATCAGAGAGAGCTACCCTCCAGTCCTCCATGCACCTAGCCAGGTTGTTAACCGAAAAACTTGCTAAACTTATGACTAGGCCTACATATATAGACACTCAGATCGATATGATCACCAATGCAGCAGATGTTATAACTAAGTTCATCATCCTATGTTTTGCTTTTCTCCCTTTCGCTATAATCAAGCTACTCAGCGCTCACTTTGTTTTTTTGTCCATATGATTAAAGCGAGGCTCACCTGATGTACTGGACACATGCATGCTTTGCAGGTGCTCGCTCTGGTTGGAGGAAGAAAGGAATGTTCGAGTTAATGACCAAATATTGTCAAGCATCCATCATGTATGCGTGTGTTGAAACCAACAGCAGATTGTTGTCGTTCTCCTTCAATGTACAGGTAATAATATACGTAGTACATATGTCTCATTATCTGAAGGAACCACGGCGTCACTTGCCAAAAAAATAAAACGATAATAGATACCCAGCCACACTCCCAGCCCCAGCTACAACAAAATGGATCATTGCATTGAGCGCTCACATTTTGTCCAGAATATATTATTGTTTCAGGGTGAGAAAGGCAGATGGCTGTTTGCCTGTTTCTCCGGCTGGCTAGTAGTCACGTTTCCTGGCGATGGGGATTCTGCTGATCTGCAGCAACGTGCTTGCTGCTTGGCTGCTTGCTGCTATATATGTCGAAAGGTGTGCTAGCTCCTCCACAACCTTTGTTTTTATGAAGCAGAACAACCTTTGTTGAAAGATCAACTACCATAGATACTTTTCTCATCTTGTCCACTCGTATCATATGCCTTAATTAAATTGGGGATCGTTATAGCTTCCCAAGAAAAGGGAAATGGTCGGCAGCAGCTGAGGATCATGTAGACATGGCCCCAAGAATGATTAGTTAGTTATCAGCACAGTCATTGATGCTGCTGCTGTCGGCCAAATCATTTCACAAGCACTGTCGCTACTGCTGTCACCCAAATCAGTACGCAACCATATCACTAATTTAAGGAGATAGCTTTGTACGCTGGGTAAGTGTGGCCTCGTGTGTAATAACTATATATAGGAGTGCAAGCTGTTCGACGTGTGTTTACATTCGATGTGCATACAACGTGTGGTATATATATATAACACATATATGTGCGTGTAGAAGCTCTCCAGATCCAGCGGCAGGGATTATTATCCAGGAGTCTATGGACTAAATCATGCTAGGTGCATTGTACTACTAACCAGTCTCGTACTAAATGATCCGGACAGAAAGAATAGTTGCTAATTGATTGATCAAGACTCGATCACTTGACCGGACTGGAGGCAAAAACATACAAATCGTCGTGGTTGGTTACCTGTCTAGATCTCACCAGCATTCCCCAGCACTTGATCAACAACTACTTGTGCTAATCAGAAAGGGACCTCCCTGCCGTTCCCAGGGAAAATGCCACCATCCTTGTCCTCCTGAGGAACTTGCTCTTCTTGGTGGCGGGGTCATACAGAAAGAGTGAGAAATGAACCTTGTCAGTTTTTGTCCGCAGTCCAATGGCGCAAGGTTAATAAAGGACTCCTGCTTGTGCAATTTGCTCATTCCTCGCTCATTTTCTTTTGGGGAAAACTGCCAACTGCTAGCTCCTCTTTCACGACTATATTCATTCATGTGGGCAGTATGCGTAGGTACTGACTTTTTTAACTGTGGGTTACATATGTTCCTACGAAAGCAGCAACTTGATCATTAAGGCATGGGGCCTATAACATTATTATGATTTGTATTACATGCTACTTCAGTCAAGAGAGAGTACTGTAAAAGTAATATGCTGCCCTCCCTGTAGCTGCTGCAGGGGCAGACGCCGAAAGGCTCTCCTGCCGTACTGTAGCCACTGCAGGGGCAGACGCCAAAGTCAGCCCTGCTGTCACATCTAGTCACTGTAACAGCATGACAGCCTGACATGTCTGTGCACTAGGATTAGATAGGTAGAGTTGTATATATAGCTTCCCACTGTAACTCAGTAAAGAAAGCGAGTTCAGTTTTGCCATCTCCTCTACAGAGCTCCGGCCAACGCTGGTGCTTGTGCTGTGTGTGTGCACTCTGTTCTCCCTTCCTTCTTCTACCTCTAGCCATAGTGTGTGGTCAGCAACGCCGGGGAGTGGTCGGCTCACCCGTTCCGAAGATACAAGGGCCAACAAGTGGTATCGGAGCCGTACAAGCATCGTCGCCGGACTAACCGCTGGTAATGATAGACGGTTTTGAGATGGGCGATAGTAGCGGCGCTGCTATGGCTGCCCAGTCATGACAGGAGGTCGTTGTGCGCACGGTGTGGGAGGTCAGCGGCACCAGTTGGCCGACGCTGACTCGCACCAACTATGGCGAATGGGCGGTGACCATGAAGGTCAAGCTCAGAGCCCGACGGCTCTGGAATGCCTTTGACAAGGGCACTGACAACGAAGAAGACGACATGTCAGCGTTGGAAGCCATCCTCGCTGCTGTGCTAGCAGAGTACAGGGAGCCGTTGGGGGCGAAGAGCTCTGCTAAGGAGGCGTCGAAGGCCATTGCGGTGATGCGCGTCGGTTCCGACCGTGCAAAGAAGGCGACGGCCTAGCTGCTGAAGCAGGAGTACGCCAACCTCAAGTTCAAGGATGGTGAATCGGTGGAGGACTTCTCCCTCCGCCTGCAGTCGCTCATTAGCAAGCTAAGAAGCGATGGCGTCGCCATCGACGAAGAAGAGACGGTCTCCAAGTACCTCCACTCCATGCCGATGAAGTACATCCAGATCGCTCTTTCCATACAGACGATGTTGGACTTGTCCACCCTCACCATTGAGGATGTGACAGATGTCTGCGGGTGGTGGATGAGCGCATGGAGCAGGCCACAACAACGACGGACAGCGGCAAGCTGCTGCTGACAGAAGAGGAGTGGGCTGCCCGGATGAAGGAGAAGAAGTCCGGGGAAGCCTCCTCCAGTCGTGGTGGCGATGGCAAGCGCCGCGGCAAGGCTTCTTCGGAGAAGAAGAAGAAGAAGAAGGTCGACCCCAACGCCTGCCGACGCTGCGGGAAGACGGGTCATTGGGCAAAGGAGTGCCCAAATCGCAAGCAGGAGAAGAAGGTTGAGGCTCATCTAGCACAGGCTGATGATGATGATGAGGCCACTCTCCTGATGACGACGTTCTGTGCACTGCACGATGTTGAGGCCAACGAGAAGGGAGAGGGGATGGCGGTGAAAGGGCCTGGGAAGGCTCTGAAGGCTGTCAACCTCGACGAACCGCACGCCCAAGTCCACCTCTGACGTGTGGGCGGCGGACAGGAGCAGTGATGGTACCTGGACTCCGACGCTAGCAACCACATGATGGGCTCCAAGGAAGCCTTCTCCGAGCTCGATGGCAACGTGACCGATACGGTGAAGTTCAGTGATGACTCAAGGGTGGCGATCCGAGGATGCGGCACCATCATCTTCAGGTGCCAGAACGGTGAGCACTGCGTACTGACGGATGTGTACTACATCTCACAACTGTGTTCAAGCATCATTAGCATTGGCCAGCTGGATGAGCGCGGCAGCGAGGTACTGATCAAGGATGGCGTCCTCAGGATCAGGGATCGGGAGCAGCGGCTTCTTGCAAAGGAAGGGTCCCAGAATTGGTTGTACCTGCTCGACCTCAAGGTGGAGCAGCCCATCTGCTTGGCTACATGGCGCACGGAGGAGCTGTGGCTGTGGCATGCCCGGTATGGACATCTCAGCTTCGACGCTCTTGGTCGGCTCGAGAAGATGGTGACCGGGCTGCCTCACATCGAGCACGTAGGTGTGTGACAGCTGCCTGGCCGGAAAGCAAAGAAGGTTGTCGTTCCCAAAGACGGCGAAGTACCACGCGGCAGAGACCCTCGAGCTGGTCCATGGTGACCACTATGGGCCGATCACGCCGGCGACGCCCGGCGGGAGCAAGT